ACGCGGCCGCCCGCCCAGCGCTGGCAAATGTGCACCACCACAAGCTTGCTGCTCGTCGTCGCCACCCGCCACGGCTGAAGCACACTTATGGGGAAACCTGTCACTTTGAAATCAATATTTTCGTACCAAGAAAGCACAATTTACCAGTTTTCCATTTCATGAGGCGATTGGAAAATTGTGTCTTTTCATAACTATTGATATTGCATCGATTTTCCATTCCGTAGGGACAGGTACAATATCCTTCGGCTCTCATAACTAAGTAGGTATAAGTTTCTTTTGCGAGTACTACGTTACATAAAATAAATGCGGTTATTAAACTGTAGGTATGTGTCCCAATTGTCAATCATCATCTGGCAACGAGATCAGAGCAGTTCGTCAGGAAAATATAACCACTGTCTGTGCGAACTCGGTCTGTTACAATTTTTTACTATGCTGCCTGATAGATGACGTTGACAAGTCGTGTTGAATAACGGTGGCCTGTCCGGTTCTCGCCCAGACATCATTAATCACATTTACCTTGCTAATATCGCAATTAAATAAACTTAGCCTATTAGTTACTTCCTTATCATGAGCGAATCTGATGAATGAAGAGTTTTAGCTACGACTATTTGCAATTTGACTTGACTCGAATGAGGCCGTGGTTATGTTTAGAAATAGGCATGTCAAACACAACAGACATGTATTTACAGGGCAATAAAACAATACGATTGCATCGTATAGTCAGTTACCTGCTATATCGGAGCTCCCACGCAGCGGCCAAATGAAAATATACTGGACGACAATGCTGCCAAAGAAATTAAATAGAGTACATTTTTCAGGCGGACAGACACGAAATGAACAATGGCCTCTGTTACAGTCAGGGAAGAACGGCAGTGACATGCCGTACGCATTCCACCAGATTAATTTGCAGTGCCTCGTCTTGTCCACATAAGACAGCAGCAACAAGATCTTAAATATGATCCGGACAGGATGGATGTAAACCTTACAAAACTTTTTGAAATTTTTATTGGATTGATATTCAATTATTTTTTGTGAAATTACTCCACTAGTTTGTTGTAATCAATTTGTTCAATTTGTTGTTGTTTTTTCGAATCCGACCGGATCGAAGGAATTTTTTTCTGAGTGTTCGATCTTTGTATTAATGATTCTTACAAAAGCTATTAACTAGATTTTTAGATTAGATACTTTTTAAACAACCAATTTGCGAAAGCTATATTTAAGTTCCCTTGATATATTTTCGATTTTATTGGACTCGTTGGTTGAGAACATTAACTGTAAAATTTAAAAGAGCATAATAAGTGCGCTTGTTAGTTTTACGAGTTTCTTCAGTACGGACTGTTTTCATTTTTAACTCATAAAATTCATAATCATAATATTTTCAGATTGTTACTTCCTGTAACATTCTACGACTGCAAACATAATATACACGTGTTGGGTACAGTAGGATTTATGTTTTTTAACTCATAACAAAATATTAGCCGCTGCGGGTCGGTTAACGTTTCATGTAAATACCAAAGAAGCTGTACCAATAATTAGGCAAATCATCATTAACCCATTTATACGGTCCACTGCCGGGCACGGGTCTCATATCAGGCGAGGGTTTAGACCCTAGTCACCAATGTAGGTTGGAGACTTCACACGTTTTTGGAGGGTTGTGAACCTTCTTCGATCCAGGTTTCAACACGATGTTTTCCTTGACCGAAAAGCTCAAGGCAAATTTCACACATAAATTCCGAGTAGGTAACCCAGAGGCGCGAGGCCGGATTCGAACTCACGTCCTGCTTGAAAGGCGTTAGGTACGTCAAACCATTAAGCTACCACGGCTTTTTTAGCCAAATAGTTCCTACAAATTAATATGCTTATTACCTACTTGACTAAAAGTGTTACGAGAAGATAAAGTTATGCATCATAAAATCAGCACTGAAATTGCTAGCAAATATAATAATAACAATTTATTTCAGACACTACGATAAGTGTTAGTAACTATGTAACTTGACCTGGAGTTAGTAACAATTGGGTATAATTAAAATTGAAGTAGGCAAAGTAGGGTAAACCCTAATAGGACGGCATGGTTTGAAGCCGTATGCAACTTCATCCAGCGCCGTATCATCGGAGAGTTCTATTTGTCTGCAAAAGCGCTAAGGATGCCCTTATAGCTACCGCTGTATTATATCATGGTAATTCAGATTCTAAATCAGTCTTTAGTAGCAGTAGAGCTCCTTGTGAGAACTCGTTCAGGGAAGTACTGCCACCTTACCTATTTCGACCGCGAAGCAATAAATTTGAGCATTAAATGCGTTCCGGTTTTGAAGCGTAAGGTGAAATTACAGGCACATGGGACTTGTTAACTTATGTCTCAGGGATCTTTGTGATTTAAAGCTCCGAGTGGCAATGCAACTGTTATGGACAGGCGTGTCGCTTATTACCAGGCGCACTAATTGTTCGTCCCGTCACTTTTTATCATAAAAAAAGAGTCCTATTTATCTGGTGCTAAGCATGTACATTACATACATTGTGGTAATTTAGATGCTAAATCAGACGGTTTTGTTTTTTCACAGATATGAATGTTAGGATACATAATATAATTTCAGTATCTCGTAGATAAGTGCATACACCGGGCTAAGTAAGGTACGTTGAGTAAATGACTGAGTTTGCTTTGTTATAATAATGAACACTTTTGAATTTGCGAACACGTTTTATTTAATTAGTTACGTACGGCAACCTGCTTGCGAATTCTTCGCTAATTAACTAATTCATTAACATACTTTTGTATACTTTGTTAGTAAGCTTACATCCTAAACTAAACATAATATTATTTTATTTATTTGCCTTCTCTATCGTATCAAATACGGTATTCAACTGTTTTGAAGAATTCATCAAAGATGTTCCGCTGCATAATAATAATAAACCGTATTCTCGAGGAAATTGGTAATAAAATAACCAAGACTTGAAATGATGGGCGGGTATTATAAACAATAAATAAGCCACACATTGTTTGCATCCGGTAGTGACCAATAACGATGCCAGTGGCAGCGTGCAATTTGTAATACAAAGACATAGTGAACAATGTTTTAGTGCGTAGGTAAAAAATAAACCGTCTACAAATTCGACTGTAACTCATAGTGTCTGCCTACAATGGGACAGTTGGTCTAATAGTATCGAGAACAATTTTTATTCATATACATTTTAACAAGAATAGCCGGGTTTGATTATCTATATTGAGCTAGAATGAAAAAACTTTAAAATATGTCTCCTCTTTGTATTTTTCATAAACATAATTCTAAATACAGTGTTCATATGTACGAACTTACAAAAATTGACAATTCACCTGAACTTGTGCTCAATAATTGGATGAATAATCGAGGATGAAACAAGTTCGGCTATTTATTCCATAAGCGTGACCAATATTCAGTCGATAGTCGATAGAATATTTATCGACTGCAATCACTAGCTGCTCGCAAGCGGGCAACGCTTTTGCACAATGAACTGTCATTTTACTCCGTCTTCAAAAAAGACAGACTATAGAAATTTAAAATAAGAAGTGGAAAAGTGTGAAGCGAAATGGACCTTTATAGTCGAAAATTTAATCAAAATTAATAAACTGACTATGCTAAAATGTCGTTTTTTAGGAGATATAAACTGACCTTAGAGGAAGGAAAAAAATAAGAAAAGACGCGATAGTCGCCATAATTTTTATGTTATTTTTATAAAACTGACACTGACACAAACTTAGTGGCCGCCATAATGGAAATAATAATACCGCTATGCTATAGCTATGTCACTTTTAAAATGGGAGATAGAGGTAAAGGTTCCAACAAACAAACAAATAAATAACGCAGATGCTCATCACCCTGCACGAGGGAAACTCTGTGCCGCGGGTGTCATGGACACACACATAGGTAGACAACCACAAATTACACCTAAACTCATGAGAGAAATATGTAAATGTAGGCCATACAAATACTTTTCGGGACTCGGAAATCGAACCCGGGACCTCTGCGTGGCAGTCCAGAATGATTATATTTATATCTTATAAAATTCAGAAGAATGAGTTAGTGAAGTCGAATCTTTAAGATTAATGCTATTTTTTTCATCAAAACCCAGCAACACACAAAACGTCAGTTATCTTATTATCTCTGATTTGAAATTAGACTAAAGCAGATGAGTAAAGAGTAGAGTAATATGGTGTACTTACATAAAAGAATATATGTTTACATACCATGTGTTATTTCTGTAGATGCAATTGTTAATGGCAAAAAAGCTTTGAGTTTAAGTAGATTAACGAATAGTGACAATTTGTAGTTTTGATAGTTAGTGAACAATTCATCATTTGCATTTATTTCACGGTATTGGCAATTGCAATGTTGTATACTATGACGAAGTGCTTGTTTGTTTGCGATTTGGGTAAAATCAGCAAATGTGGCGATTTCAGACCGATTTGATTGGCTTTAGTACCGTAAGCAAACACGAATTGCTTATTGCGTGGCAGGCCATATGCGCGGGCGCAGCGGAAAGGCGCAAACATAGCGACACAGCTAATTTATGCAGACTTCGTCTCATTTGGTGTACACTATAACTTCCTGCTCGTAAGTTAATTGCAACGGTTTCACTATTTTCGGAATCAGAATGAGTTACGGCATACATCAAATGACGAGACATTCTTTGAGAGAAATTTGGATGCGGGATACAGTATTTTTTATACACCCAAGACCTACTCCTGCAATGTAAATTGAGCCCAGTTCGCAGCATGAACAGCAGTGGTAGAAATTCTCCAGAGGTCTAGAAATGACGTATTTAAAAGACGAGGTGCAAATAACCGGCAGATGGCGCACAGTGAATGTTTAGACTAGCCATTGTTTTGATCTGAACGAATAATGGCATGCCTACCGCATTTTATTGTAAACTCTATATTAAGTTATTTTCGTTGTACTCAAGTGTACTCTCTATAAATACGTTGGTGAGAATATATGACAAATAATAGAAAAAAATATTAATACAAGTTACGTTTATTATGATAAGGTACTTTTAAACTTAGAAAATATAACAAGAAATATGTGTGATTTATAATCAATAATCAACAATGTTTACACCTAGCTACTTTGTACAATGGTCTGACATCATTTTACTTTCTTATGTAACAAATATAGCACCAAACTGCCTGCGATTGTCGCAACCCCCCTGAAAAATAAAAAGGTGTTAAAGGTTGATGTAATAAAAAATATATAATATTTATAATATACATAAATAATAAATATTATATATTTTTATATATAAATATATGATATTTAATTCTACATTTTGATTAGGAAATTTGGCGTAAATTTCATTTCATACTTCGTTGTAAGTTCCCGATTCATCTCATATTTTCAGAAACGAAGAAATACAACGACGAGTCAAATCGAAAGGAAACAGCAACATACAGACAATGTCTGTTTGTTTAGTTAACCATCACTCAAAAGGTATGACTGGGCTTCTAACATTGTATTTAGAGGAGCAGGGTTAATCAACAATCCATCATAAGAACGATCTGTAGATCTCTCAGAACCCGAAATTCCTTTGCGTAATAGTAAAAAGAAACGCAAGAGCGGAATGGTGTTTACAGGCAGGAAAGAATCTATGATTGGACTCATAATTTTATGACGATGATCTGAAACTGGGACACTTACCACATAGCTACTTGTCCCGCAACAGAGTGTCTGTATACGCTGAACGGCGATATTCTGTACTCCTGACTGTTTTTGAACTGTTTCAGAATGTTGTTAACACTAGAATTGAAGAAGTCGTAATTAGTCGCATTATTTTTAGAAAGCGTACGTTAGTATGCTGTGAAAAGTTATTTTAAATGTTTGAGAGGATACTTACGTAAATTGTGAGTTAGCTGCTATGAGAGCAGTCCGGTTGCCGTAAGGCTTTATGTCTATAGAGCCGAAACTCGCCAGCGCCGACGCCACCTACAGACAGACAGATTAATGTTGATGCACGTTTGGCATAAACAGCGATTGTAACTGCTATCTATAGCATGTCACACAGTCCCCTATCGCATAATAAAATATTGCGGCGAACTACAACACTGGGATGATTGTATTTATATCTAACCTTAAATTAACCTTGACAGTGGCATGAAAAATTACTCCTCGTACATTTGAAAATTGGACCGGGCACTTCGGAAAGAAAAGTCCAGATGTAAAAATAAAGTTCTCCACTTTGTGACACTTGGGCATTAGTAATTTGTTTTAACTAGCAACAGGAAACATGCGTACGGTGTTCGTTTGTGGGTGTGTGCGTCGGCGTGTGCGTGAACGCGTCTGGCTCCAAGCCAGGCTTTGGTAGTTTTCCTACTAGCAGCGTATGGCTTACTGTGTCTCCGCTTTTACAAGGCAATCCTATCGAAACCAAACACAGTGTTTCGGTACTCTTATGTCTGAAGATCTATCGCGCTGTAAACAGTGCCCCGCCGGCGAGGTGACAATTATTACGTCCATAATAGTACTTCTAAAATATGGATGCTAAATTATAGACTCCGAGGATTGAGACAACGCGGATGGAATAGAGTTTGTTTACAATTTGAGCCAAAATAGCATTGTTCAGATTACATAATGTCTTTTGAACCCTGTCGCGTTTGCGTAAACTTTGTGGTCGTTACAAGGTTTGCGTGGGAAGTTTGAATGCTGCAGTCGTCTGTCAGCAATTAGAAGCGCTCAAAGGGCAAAACATTTCGCAAATGTTTACCGTGATCATAACATTTTACGTTACAGCGGGGATGTTATCAATCACCATGACCTTACTGCTAACTTCTAACGTTAAATCTGTTTTCTAGGATGACTGAGATAACTCATAATGTCTTCTAGAATTTTATAAAAATAGAATACTATGGTTATAGAAACGTATTAAAAAAGATACACATATTCATGTAAATAAAGCTGCCTCCGTGGCCAAACGTTTACCATGCTGAACTCACACGCGGAGGTCTCGGGTTGTATTCCCGAGACGGGAAAATATTTGTATGGCCTAGATTTATTTCTTTCGTGGATGTAATTTGAAGTTGTCTATGTGTGTGTCCCGCGATCCAGGGTTTCCCCAGTGTGGGGTTATAATAATAATAACGCAAACACTCAACATAGCGCCATGGACACACACATATACAACCACAAATTACACCCAAACTCACGAGAGAAATAAATGTAGGCCATACAAATATGTTATGAGTGTGTGCACAATTTATTTATTCATTTCCCAAGTTATAGATGAATTAATGAAGGTAGTTCTGATGCGTATTCTGCATACAGGTTGTCCTAATACATACATATATATATATATAATATATATGTATTACATTATATTATATTATATATAATATGTATAATATACGGTCAGCAAGATAAAAGGCAATTTTTACAAAACTTTTTTTTATGCCATTCGACCCGGTCTCTGGTAATCAACAGACTCTATGGGACCAACTGAGGTAAGAGTACTCTAAATGTTAGAAATCGCAAAAAAACTTTTTACCATACATTTTGTAGGGACCTATTTAGTAATCAGTTATTCTAGGTAGTTAAGGAAACTAACAAATTGACAACATATTATGTATTTCAAAATAAAAACAATAACGAAAAGCAAAATAACATAACAAACTCAAAAAGTCTATGGTAGTAAGTGCTCGAATTGATTGCCGCCTTGGCGGATGCATCGATTCGCTCTCTTCCGCAAAGAGCACGTAGCGGCTGAAATTCTACTCAAACGGATTCTATTGAAAATTGCTGCAAGATGTCTTTCAATTCTTGAACACTGTTGTATTTTTTGATCCTTATTACTATTGATCCTTACCAGAGACCGGATCGAATGGCATAAAAAAAAGTTTTGTAAAAATTGCCTTTTATCTTGTTGACTGTACCATTTTTTCAAAATCTGTGAACGCCAATCAAAATATCTTCAAAATTAATGGATAGTCTTCTAGAACCGTTTTCCTGTAACTACAACGATTAAGTAGCTGGCCTTGCTGCTCTGTCTCAAATTTACACCCTGTATAATAACGTAGTATTGTATAACACTACGATTTTGAACGAAGCGTACGATTAGCAGAGCAAGCGAAATTTTGTCGCGAACAAAACACCCATTTTTTTGATACTAAATAACGGTTCGAACAAGTCGTGCGCTTGATGGTAAGCGATACGCCTGTTCATAATAGTTACATTTAGAGCTTTAAAACACAAAGATCTCAGGGGCACTGAAACTGCGCCTGTTACCCTGACACATAAGTTGATAGTCTCATATGCCTGTAATTTCAGCATTTTCACAATTCCCTGCATCAAAAAAAAATTAAGAATTAGGAAGATGAGTGTTTTATTCACTTTATTGTATAAAGGTATCGACGTGTTCTTTGCACAAGATTTCAAATGAGATTTCAATGATAATGATGATGACACCTAATTAATGACTCAGTGACAGCTATCAACTTGATAGTAAAATAAGCATTGGCACAATCTATTGAGATGGCGCATTCTACAGATTGTGCCAATGTTCAGATATTATATTGCTTTTTGTATAGACAGACAGTTACAAAAGTGACAAGCGCCATCTATAGAGTATGGTGAGAATTAAGAACTCAATTAACAACACACAATAATATTTCTAAGTGAATTTTTATATATCACAGTTCTTCGCTTGATCCCTTTTGTCATTCTTTTGGTAGCCGTAGAGATATTTGTGAAAGAGTTCGTCCAGGGTAGTACGTAAGGCGCACCATAAATTTCTGGAACTGGCCACTTACATAAACAATATTTAAATAGTAATTACAACATTTGAAAATGGAACTCTTTGTCTGTAGAATACCATTTGTTTCATCTGACTGTCACTTATTTTTACATTGTGGCGTCATTTTAGAAATTGGTTGTCTACATCACCATAGATTTAACCAGTGAAAATTTTCGTAGTATGATTTTCTACGACTTTAAGTGTAATTTAACAGCTCAGCAAAGCATGTTTAGGCATAGGCATGAGTCAAATACAATCAATACTACACAAACATTTGGGTGTGAAAAAGCTGTGCTCTCGGTGGATCCAACACAATATGACTGAGGCTCAAAAAACGGATCGCGTCACTTGGTGTAATGCCATGCTTACCTGATTCAACGAAGGGGCGTCAAATTTGGTGTAGGACACAGTAACAGGTGACGAAACATGGATTTATAGTTACGATACCAAAACAAAGCAGCAATCGAGCGTATGGATCTTTCGAGATGAGCCGAAACCAACCAAAGTGGTGCACGTGCAAAGTGCATCTAAGCAGATGAGTGCTTCTTTTTTTAATAAAACTGGACACGTGGCTACTGTTGCTTTGGAGAATCGTTGTACCGTGAATAGTGATTGGTACACGACCATTTGTTTGCCGGAACTTATTGACAAACTCCGTAAAAATAACCGTAAACGGCGTATCATCTTGCACCACGATAATGCCAGTTCTCAAACGGCCAGACAGACAAATGAATTTTTGAAGGTGAACAGCGTTGACCGTATGAGCCATCCCGCGTACAGCCCCGACCTGGCACCTTGTGACTTTTATTTATTTCCAAAAATTAAGAACCAGTTACGTGGTCAACGATTTTCATCACCTGAAGAGGCTGTCGAAGAGTACGAAAAATATGTTTCGGAGATTGTCACGGAAGTGTGGCATAAATGTTTTCAAAATTGGTTCATTCGCGTGTAAAAGTGCATTAACGCTAACGGAGAATATTTTGAGAAATAATAAATTCATTTCTGACCATTTAGTATTTTTTTCTTATTAATTCCGGAAACTTATAGTACGCCTCACGTACTGCCACCTGACCTATTTCTGCCACCAAGCAAAGTCAAAGTCAAAGATTATTTATTCCATAGGTAAAATAAACTTACACTTGAAAACGTCACATTTAAACTACTGCTCGTTCATAGTGAAACTGACCTCCCTGAGAAGAACGAGCAAAAAACTCTAGGGATAGCTCTTTTCAAATAAACTTAAATGCTATGGAATACACTTTGAATCAAATTTGTGTGGATTCTGGAGCCGTGTCGTCTTTCCATACATCTTTATCTAACACGTAGACTTCAATTTTGTAATATGATTTTTCGATCAAAATATTTTTAATGTAGTTTTTAAACTTAGGAAATGATAAAATTAATATATGCTCCGAAATCTTATTGAGAAAAAAAAAACAGTAATGTTAGCATTACTGCGTTCCGGTTTTAAAGGGTAAGGGGGCTGGTGAAATTACAAGCACATGGGACTTGTCAACTTAGGTCTCATGGTGGTGGGTGTGATGACATTGCCCCTCAAATCTTTACGTGTTAAAGCTCCGAGTGCCGCTGCCACTGCTATGAACAGGCGTCTCGTATACAACAGGCGCACATCTTGTTCGTCTCATCATTTGGTCTCATAAAAATACTTGTTTCCCACTAAGAATACCTTGTCCATACAGTATGTATGGACTAATGTATGGACTAATTACAACCATTTATACTGTTGTCACCTACCTTCTATCTTACTATAATATAAAATATAAGCTCTATGCTGTTGCAAATTTAATTTCACCCAAATAATAAGTATTAACTGCCTCCGTGGCCGAACGGTTACCATACCGGACTGCCACGCAGAGGTCTCAGGTTCGATTCCCGGGCCGGGAGAAATATTTGTATGGCCTACAATTATTTCTCTCGTGAGTTTGGGTGTAATTTGTGGTTGTCTATGTGTGTGTCCATGGCACCCGCGACACAGGACTTCCCTAGTGCGGGGCTATGTTGAGTGTGTGCGTTATTATTATTATTATTCGCTTATACAAATTGTGTTGACAAGGTAAGACAGAATGTTAACGAAAGCGAAGCGGACCATTCATGCGATGAACCCTCGCGTATACAGTCCCCTACCTGATGATGTCACCAGCGCTCCGAACAGCGCTCCATTTGCTTTAAACTAAAAATGTGGCTAATCCGGAGCTTTTTTCAATTTATACAGTTTTTAATTTTAAGTAGGAAGTTTAGTAGTAGTAAGTTTTGATAGTACTATTTTCTTCATTACTGACAAACTGGGTTCATGACTGACTGTTGTCGACTGACTGGGTTCGAAATTATCAAGACATTTACTTTATATGATTATCTCATAATTATCCGATATATATCTGATAAATTATTCGTGCTGATTTAGTCTTGTCAAACAATGTCTTGATACAAACGCACGGTACGATATTGCTAGAGGTAGCATTTTGTTATTCCAATTAATTTTTACAAAATATAGATATTATAATTTAACATAATTAAGGCAAATTTATGAATGTTAATCGTCGTAATTATTATCATGATAATTAGCAATGATAAAAATCGTAATCATCATCAATGATAAAATTATTACTTCAGATCCTTTTTTTATAATACTAAGTAACGCGACGAACATGTCGTGCACCTGGTGGTAAGCGACATGCCTGTCCATAACAGTTGCAGTGCCACTCAGAGCTTTAAATCGCAAAGATTTGAAGGACACTGCCACTGCGCCCAACACCCTGTGACTAAAGTTGACAAGTCCCATGTGCCTGTAATTTCACCCGCATTCCTGATATGTCAATTTAATACATTTGCTTATTTGATATTCTAAATTGACTTTGCAGGTACTTAAGTCACATGTAATGAAAGTTATGAATAAATGATAAATTATTATGATTATGCAGTGTAATGAATACTAATGGTACAGCAATCAAACATGATGGTTTTCATCTGATCAAGAATAATGTAACCTACAGAAATAGCGACTCTTTATTATATATTTAGATTGTGTTGGCGAGAAAATGTAGTTTACCTTTCCAACGTTTATGACCCGTTCATTAAGCGCTTTTACGTGTAGCCACTCAGGACGGTGGCGTGGCGGGTCGTCGCCCACGATACTCTGCAATGTATACTACGTATTATTACTCCAATTTTGATTACGCTTACTCTTAGTGGGGTTGTACAGCATACAATACATACTTGTGAATATGAATATTTGAGAAAATATAGTGACATTGCATTTCAGGGGCAACCTTAGCGCCCTGTTACACGAGGAGAAAGTTTTCGCGCAGCGACCGCCCAGTTACCACGCCTTCATGTACATTAATGGCGAATCTGAATTCTATTTACTAGGCAACAACATTTAAATTCCTTTGAATAATGCAACAGCGCGGTCGCCGCGCGGCCGAATTCAAGCCAGTCTCGCCCGCGTGTCCGGGACGCTCATTTATCAAGATAAAACGTAAAAGCTAAGTGAATAGAGCGTATTTTGCCATGACAGTTAGACGCCCGCGGTTGCTGCGCGGGGTGAGCGCGATGAAATTGGTGTCGAATAAATGCGTTCTTATTATGATGTTTTGGAGTGCAAAAATGACAGCTGCACTAAAAATATTACCCGTAGTAGTATTTCATATCATCGGTAAGTCTTACTTTAATAAATTTAAAATTTTCTGTTTATCGAATTCATTCAAATGTTAATCGTTCGTCGTAGTCCAATTACTGGCCGCAAGATGGTAGCACGTTGAATAAAATTTCAATATACAATCAAAACGTCGCTTGCAACTTGCAATAAAGGTATTGAACTTTCAACGATGTAGTGACTGGGTAAAGTTTAAATTATATTAACAATCCAGAATTTGTTACAACTTTTTAAATTAGAAACTTATGACCAATCATTATTTTCTTTCGTGTTCCATTGAAAAAAAAAAAATAAAATCAAATAATGTTTAATGTAAGTAATAAAAATGTTCTATTGCGTTAATTAAAATAAAGTCAAGACATTATTCATTTATAATTGTTCAAATTACACGCGTGGATCAGTCTGCTTTCCTAAAATTTCAACAGTGGTGCAAGCTGTTTGTATGAGACTCTTTAATTTATTAATGAAACTTGTGCCGTTGGGCAACATCTTACGTGTTCTGTATTATTATTGTAGGGGCAACAACCGTTTACAATCTACAAGTTCCCTTGGGTTAAGTGAAAGGTACGTGTGATCAGTTATTTTAAGTTGCGTCTTGCATACTTTAGCACTTTAATGTGATACTAGCCGGAAGTAGTACGCTCTAAGCTAAAATGAAATCTTCCCTCCTTTTCTTACAAATAATGAACGAGAATGTAATGAATTTAAATTGACATTATTGCAACTATAGGGCTCACAAATAAAATTAGTTAGTCAGGTAACATTACGGCATACAGACAACACAGACATAGAGGTATTATGAATGTAAGAGGGTGTGCTAGACTTTACTTTCAATTTAATTTCATCAGCCCCCGTAGTATACCGCCTCGATAAAGCTGATAAATTATATCCATATGTAGCTCTCAAATTCGAGTGTCGGTTTATCACCGGCATTTTAAATTTTTATCACAATAGCTAACATGGCAAGCACCGTGACGTCAGTTTTTATGTCATTGCGTGTGACGCGACCAATGATTGCAAAAGATTAACACAGTGCCAAACAGGGCTGCAAGGTCACAGCTGATTTTAAAACATTTTGACAAATCAGTAATTTTTTAAAATTTCAAAACAGTAATTTGTCGACAAACGACAAAAGACAAACAAATTGATATGTATATAAATGATTGGAAAAAGGTGAGGAGAACATTTTTAATACTATTGAACTGTATTAGAAATACGTAAATAATAACTAATATTATGTAAAAAATGTAAAAGTTGTAACATAAACTGCAAAAACCCGAAATTTTTTGTTTCATAGTTTTCGCGGCGATGATTAAACGACAAAGATACTATATACGCAATTCCATGTCATTTATCCTTGTTTTTCAAAATGTATAACAATAGGTCATTACCAAATTAGCAAAGTTAGTTTTATCAACTGAAATATACAGGTTGTCCCAAAAATAACACGCCACGACACTGTGGGTAGGTGAGCTATATACCTTTTTTTTTTTTTTTGACGGGGGGAAATCTTTATGGATACCCCTGAGCCCAGGGAGACTCAGGGGTTATGTGGGGACTCTCCCTCCAGACTTGAGGGCCTACCCCACTAAAACCCCCCCGGGTTTCCCTCTCGCCGGTTGAGTCGGCGCCGTGGGATCAGTGAACATTCACCATGACGCCGCCCGGCCGCCCTAGCTTACGCCAGGGCTCCCGCGCCAACGGAGGGGCGAGTCGTTTGTCCTCCGGCCCGCCCCCCAGACGAGTGAGGCCGTGCGGTGCAGGCTCCGGAGTCCCTGTCCAGAGCCCGCTGGTCTCACTAGGGGATCAGGCGAGCAGCGAACTGCCTTCGCCTTCTCCCCGTACGTCTGCGCCGGAGCGGGTGCGCGTCCGCCGCGTCCTCGCGCACCCGCTCCGCGGCCTCCTTTTGCGACATAACCTCTGCGCAAAAGGAGGCCATCGCCTCCCAGGACTCCTCGCTTTCGAGCATGGCGGCAACCACGCTCGGCAGCGAGAGGTCCTGCCCTACAGTCCCCGTTAGAGTGCGGCGCTGCTCATCCCACCGGCTACACACCTCTAGGGTGTGCTGCGCGGTGTCATCCGCAGCGCCGCACTCGTGGCACGACGGGGACGGTTCCCTCCTCGCCACCTTGTGCAGGTAGTGACCGAAGCAGCCGTGCCCGGTCAGCACCTGCACAAGGTGGAACGACAGTGGCCCGTGGGACCGGTTTACCCACTCTACGAGGACAGGGCGGATCGCCTCTATGGTACGAGCGCCATAGGGGGGATCCGCCAAGCCCTCTTTCCACCGGTCCCGCATGCGGTGAGCTATATACCTACCAGAAAGAAATAATTTGACCTTAGTAAAAGTCTTATAGTTTTCGAGGTATTTGCACTTTTTTATTTTTTTGGAATAACTACTTTTTGTAGAGTTTTTTGCTACTATTGCCAGGGTCAGCTCCAGATGGTAGATGTTTTTATTTTTCAGGTAACCTGAATAGTTTTTCCAGGTACTGCGACTAATATTTTATCTGATAAATGTCATAAAATGTGAAAAAAGTTATTAATTTGGTATACCTCGTACCCTTGTAAAAAGTTAAACGTTAACTTTGAATAGCTAGTGTGAAAAAAAAAAATGTATGAAACTGAATTTGCAAATGATCTTAAAAATTGCTCCACTATGCTGCATATTATTGAGATTTTTCACAAGAACATAGTCATTTAATTTATTTTTCGTCATAACACCCTACCAGCTAATCAGTTTCTAAACAAAATTAAATTTAAACTTTTAAATGAATTAATTGCTAAGCGCTAGGTAACGGCGCATCAATCTTTTTCCCACGTTGTATTCGTAATAAAGGAGTGAGATAGTTACTAGGCTTTTCTTTCTCTCTCTGAACTGGTACAAACAAACTGTGACAAACCAAACTTCCCAAAAGCATGCGGATTTAGCTACTAATATCGTGGTAGAGTGCCTTTGTGTGTCGCTTGATTTGTCGCCGTTTTTACTTAATGGAAAATACAACAATAAAGTTTAAATAATTTAATTTTTATTAGATATTATAGCAAGTGTTCAAACTGCCTCTCTCTGACTCTAATGCACATGCGACATCTTTTGACGAATGAGCTTCTCAGACGCTTCAAACTCATTTGAGAAATTTCTCGAGCTGCTTCATAGACTCGTCGTCGTAGTTCGGTTTCTGTAGTGATAGCTTTGGAGTAAACTTTATCTTTTAAGCACCCCCAATAGAAGATGTCGAGGGGGTTCAGATCAGGCGATCTCGGTGGCCACAAAATTGGTCCCAATCGGCCAATCCATCTTCGTGGGAACGTCTGGTCGAGGAGCGTTCGGAAGTCGCGAGCGTAGTGGGCTGGACACCCATCATTTTGAAACCACATTCTTCTTAGTAATACTATTGGCACATCTTCGAGAAGGTTTGGCAAATGGTTTTGTAAAAACTCTAAATAATTTTCGCCATTTAGAGTCGGAGGCAGTTCAACTGGACCAAATATTTCCCCATTGAAAATTCCGGTCCGTAAATTAATTTTAAACTGGTGTTGGGACCGATCTTCTCTTCTCTCGTGCGGGTTCTCTAACTGCCAGCTACGGATATTGTGGAGGTTTACATAGCCATCTCTGCGACATACTGATTCATCACTCCACAAAATCGTATTAAAAAAGTTGGGGTCTTCACTGTGCTTGTGAAGCATTTGTTGAGAAAACTGTACGCGTTTAACGTAATCGCTCGGCAGTAAAGTTTGAACTCTCTGAATATAGTATGGGTGGTATCGGTGCTTTTTTAAAATTCGCTGTGCCGTAGACTTTGAAATGCCAGTCCGTCTTTCTATCAGGCGAACTGAAGTAGACGGATCTCTTGACACTTCCTGCAAAACTATTTCGTCTGTGACGGTACGAGGTGTGCCTCCACCACGATGGCCAGGGTTCCTACCCTCTCTGTATGCAGCATCAACTCTTATTATGGTCTCATGGGTCGGTGGCCTACGGTTAGGAAATCTTACCGCATACAATCTTGCTGCTAATCTTGCATTTAACGATACGATGCCGCGAGCAGAAACACGTCTAGTTTCGCCGTAAATTAGGTACATGTCAGCGTAATCACTATGAGTGAATTCGGGGTTTGCTCCAACGATATTCTGTTGATCTGCCATTTTAACTGTATAAAGGCAGTATCCGGAGGCGCAGCCGTCGATCACACACAAACAACACGGTCCAAATAGTAAGCAAATCAGGGTCCAAAGTAATGCCAAGTTGTTGCTATGATTACTAAAAAAACTTTTCCGATCGTTATCAAATCAAAGTCCAAAGTGATGCCAAGTCGTCGAAAGTGTAGAAACGGAAGCAGCGATAAAACGAAAAACGCGTACGTAGCACAAAACACAAAGGTATGTACTAACGGGTACTACGGGCCCAACCCGACCCGATCCCACCTGGCGACCGATACCGACGTAAGAGAGAGATAACAAATAAGGGTCATACCTCTCGCTCATTTTTTTACTACCTGGGGCCTAGCGACAGAGTAGTTAGTCATAAAGCTCAATAATTTAACACAATTTTTGTTTAGAAACCATTTCGGCTAGTAGGGTGTTGATGTCGAAAAAAAATTAAATGACTAAGTTCTTGTCAAAAATTTCAATAGTATTGTACAATTCCTGATTCTGCATTAAGTGGAGTAGTTTTTAAGATCGTTTATAAATTCAGTTTCATACATTTTTTTTTCACACTAGCTATTCAAAGTTAATGTTTAACTTTTTACAAGGGTACGAAGTATACCAAATTAATCACTGTTTTCATAGTTTATGATATTTCTCAGTAAAATATTAGTTGCTGTACCTGTACAAAACTATTCAGAATACTCGAAAAATAAAAATAACAACAATCTGGAGCTAACCATGGCAATAATAGCATAAAACCCAACAAAGAGTAGAGTTTTTGCAAAAAATAAGGGTATATATCTCGAAAACTAAAAGACTTTTACTAGGGTCAAAATATTTTTTTCTGGTAGGTATATAGCTCACCTACCCACAGTGTCGCTCTGGCGTGTTATTTTTGGGACCTGTATATTGTCACGGGGAGGTTTATCAGTCACACATATTCTGCATGGTACGGCCGCAGGTATATATTGAAATCCAAACTAATATTCTAATTGCGAAAGTAACTCTGTCTGTTACGTTTACACGCCCAAATCGCAATTTGTCACAAATATAAATTTTAAAGGGGGTGAAATATGAGATGAAAGTTTATATGGCGAACTAAAAAAGTCCCAGCATCAGCTAGTCATAAGTTATACAAATAAAAAAAACATACCATATAAGGAATAGCCCCGCGTATGATATTGATCCTGTTGCAATACGGCGCAAGAGCAGCAATTTTTTCCGTTGGGCCAACCGGACGGTACTTGCCGCTGTTCTCACACGCTGCCCAATGGCCTAGTCTGATAAAGCAGTATCCTGTGTGCCCAGGAACGTTTTTAAATATTTTTATTTAATATTATGAAGTTTTTATTACTATAATTATGTATTTTGTGTGAATATATTCCCCGAGTTTCTTATTATTATTGATACAAAGATCGAAGAAACACAAAAAAATTCCTCGACCTTCGACCTGACTGGACACGAACCAGCGACTGTTGTTTCAACGTGGCATCGTGATAATCAATAAAAATATTGCAATTAACATAGCGACATCTCTGTCAGTGTTTTGGTAGCCGTAAAGGCACCTGACTGAGTGAAGAAACTTTCATAAGTTGTCACAGCTGGCGATACGGATACACAATGAGGCAACAGTCGCAGGTTCCAGACAAGTTACCCAACTTTTCCAGGATATTTTCTTTGTATTTGTTTGATCTTTGTGTCAATAATATTTTTTTTTTTCAATTTATGAATCTCTCATACGCTATTGGGTTGCCATTCTAATTTTTTTTTCAATTGTAGCTATTTTTGAAAAAATCAATGGAGTATGTACAATACATAATGAATGTCTCTTGTGACCGACTGAGGACTGCTTTTAGCCACAGATTTTTCTGCTTCCTTGAATATTTTCTTTACAAAGCTTCACATTTTTGGGTTGAATAATTTCGAATGTAAGAAGAGGTTGGCAAACTGGTTGCAAAAATTAAATTATGGTGATACGGAAAAGTTGCTTTATCCAATAGTCTGACACAAACATATATACATACACACACATGTATCCAAATCACACACACCCAAACACACTCGCGTGCGTGTCACACACACACACACACACACACACACACACACACACACACACACAC